GATTGTTCACTACGGTTGTGCTTATCATGGGAGACTGACGTCCAACGTTACTCAAAGCACCTAGGAGAGGACGAATCTGTCTTAAGGAAACTTTTCATTCAGGCCTCAACAAAACTCTTCTTCTATTTATTCAGTTCCATCCGATTACATGTTCTATTTTAATTTCACATTTTTTTAAACTTTATTATTGAAATGAAGTTTTTAGATTATAATACTACAACATTATTTTTCAATAATTTGCAACAATCTTAAGACATATTTCTTGTGTTGTAGTTCAATCTAAACTCAAACAGATTACCGTGGTAATATATTTAGGTTAATATATATTTCGTTTCATATTATATTTATTATTTCGGTTTTGATTTCGATTACAGAAAAATGTCTGATACTTCATCCAATTCACAATCTAATGCGATTGTCGCTACACACACTCAGGCTGCGAGCCAAACGTTACCTGTGACCATGAGTCATAATGAAAAGTATGCAAAATTCAATGGAGATAATTTCAAAACATGGCAACATAAAATGTTGTTTTATTTGACGACATTGAATCTGGCCAAATTTTTGAAGGACGATCCTCCTACTATTAGAGAGGATGAAGTGGATGCTGCAACCGCATTCAACATTACCGAAGCATGTAAGCACTCTGATTTCCTATGTCGTAACTACATCTTGAATGGTTTATTTGATGCACTTTATGAAGTATATAGCGTAAAGAAAACAACTAAGGAACTATGAGAATCATTAGACCATAAATACAAAACTGAAGATGTTGGTGCTAAGAAATTCTTAGTTGCCAAATTCTTAAACTTTGTAATGGTTGATTCTAAAACTGTTGTGAATCAGGTGTAAGAATTCCAACTAATCATTCATGGTATTCTCGCATAAGGGATGATTATAAGTGAATCCTTTCGGGTGGCGACCATTATTAAAAAACTTCCGCTTGCTTGAAATGACTTTAAGAATTATCTTAAAAATAAGAGAAAAGAAATGACAGTGAACGATCTGATTGTGAGACTTCGGATTGAAGAAGACAATCGATGTGCGGCTAAAAGGTTAAACAAAATAGCCAATCATAACATTGCCACGGAAAATGTGGTGGAAGTAAAAAAGGACTTCAAGAAAAGAAAGCAAGCTCTAATTGAGTCTAAACTAGGACCAAAAGGCGGTGTTTCGAAGAAGCAAAAATTCCAAGGGAGCTTTAATTGCAATAAGACGGGACACATTTCATCCCAATGTAGGCTTCCAAAAATGTCTAGAACAAAAGAGGCTAATGTTGTGACAGAAATTTCCAAGGAAGTATTTGAACTTGAACTATGTGTTGTGGTCTCTGAAGTAAACTTGGTAGATTCAAATCCAAGAGAATGGTGGCTTGATACTGGTGCCACACGCCATATTTGTTGCGACAAGGACTCCTTTCCTAAGTTGGTTTCTTGTGAGAAGGGAGAAAAACTCTATATGGGCAATGCTGCAACTTCCAAGATCAAGGGGAAATGCATTGTAATTTTAAAGATGATTTCTGAAAAAGAGTTGAAGCTTCAAAATGTGTTGTATGTGCCTGACATATGAAAGAACATTGTCTCTGGGACCCTCCTAAGTATACATGGCTTTAGGATGGTGTTTGAATCCTAGAAGTTAGTCTTATCAAAAGGAGAAATATTTGTGGGAAGGGGATATGTATTAAACAATATGTGGAAACACAATGCTATCTCTGTAAAAGCTAAAAATATAAATAAGAATGATTCTTCTTCTTTTGTTTATATGATTGAGTCATTAAATTTATGGCATGGTAGACTCAAACATGTTAATTATGATACTTTACGTAGATTAATTAACTTATAACATATTCTCCCATTTCACATTAATTATAATCATAAATATGAAACATGTGTTGAAGCTAAACTAACAAGGAAATGATTATAATACACAGTGATGTTTGTGACTTAAAATTTGTTCAAACTAAAAGAGGGAATAAATATTTTTATTACCTTCATTGATGATAGCACAAAATATTGCTATGTATATTTGCTTAAAAGCAAAGATGAAGATATAGAAAAATTTATTCTCTATAAGCAAGAAGTTGAAATCCAACTTAACAAAAAGATTAAGAGGGTGAGAAGTGATCGTGGTGGTGAATATGTTGAATCATTCAATATTGTGCACAACATGATATTATTCATGAAGTAACACCACCATACTCTCCTCAATCGAATGGAGTAGCAGAGTGGAAAAATCGAACATTAAAGGAAATGATGAACGTTGTGCTAGGAAGTTCTAGGTTGTCACAGAACATGTGGGGGAAAGCTGTATTATCAGCAAATTATCTTTTAAATAAGGTTCCTCGCAAGAAAAAACACAAGACACCATATGAGTTGTGGATAGGCAAGAAACCCTCCTACAATTACCTGAAAGTGTGGGGGTGTCTTGCAAAGGTAATGGATCCTTTATCAAAGCAAATGAAAATAGGTCCTAAAACAGTGGATTGTATTTTCATTGGTTATGCTCACCACAACAATGCATATCAATTTCTTGTGCATGAATCAAAGAATCCAGAAATTTACAAGAATATGATATTATAATCTAAAAATGCCTCATTCTTTGAAAATATATTTCCTTGTAAAATTAGAGAAGTTGGATCAAGTTCAAGGAAACGAACTTTAGAAACTATTAATGAAAATAGTCAAGACTTCCAACAAGATGTTGAAGTCAAGATAGAGCCAAGAAGAAGTAAAAGAGCACGGGTAGAAAAATCCTTTGGATCAGATTTTCTAACCTATATGCTAGAGACTGAACCTGTAACTTATAGCGAAGGTATACATTCATCTGAATTTTTTTTGGAAAGATGCCACCAAGAGTGAAATTGATTCCATCATGCAAAATCATATGTGGAAATTAGTGGATCTTTCTCATGGATTTAAACCATTAAATTCTAAATGGATTTTCAAACGAAAAATGAAAGTAAATGGAACAATAGATAAGTACAAGACCAGATTGGTTATTAAAGGGTACCGACAAAAGGAAGGTCTTGATTACTTTGATATATATTCACCCGTATCAAGAATAACTTCTATAAGAATGATACTTGCAATTTCCACTTTACGGAATTTAGAAGTACATAAAATGGATGTTAAGACTGCTTTTCTTAATGGAGACCTTGATGAGGAAATTTAAATGGAACAACCTGAAGGTTATGTAGCTCCAGGACAAGAAAAGAAAGTATGTAAGTTGATAAAGTCATTATATGGACTTAAGCAACCACCAAAGCAATAGCATGAAAAGTTTAATAATGATATCAAATGAATTTAAAATAAATGAGTGTGACAAATGTGTGTATGTCAAAATCACTGTTGATGGATATGTATGCCTATATGTTGACGACATGAAAAGTCATTATATGTTGACGACCTGAATGGCCAAAGCCTGTACCCAAAATATGTATATATTATGATAACCAAGCACAATTGGTAGATCACAAAATGTAATGTATAATGGTAAGTTGAGACACATGCGAAGTTGACACAATACCATTAGACAACTGATCTCAACTAGAGTTATTTCTATTTATTTTGTAAGATCAAAAGATAGCATTGCATATTCGCTAACCAAAGGGTTGAATCGTGATCAAGTTGATAAAACATCAAGAGGAATGGGACTAAAGCCCATGAATTGTTAAGGCTCTATGTGAAGGAAAACCCAACCTAGTTGACTGGAGATCCCAAGATCTAGGTTCAATGGGACAACCTACTTGCATAGACCTGGTGAGGTCATTGTGGAGGTTTTTATTCACAAACCCATTCCTATGATGAAAATAATGACTAAAATGTGAATAAGGTTAAACAATGCTTTTAATGACCAATATGTGTTTCGTTGAACCAAACAACATAAGTCACATATGTGAGAGTTAAGTGGAGCCGCTTCAAAGAGACTATTGGGGCATAGTTCTCTAAGCTCTTGCAGAACCAGTAGACGTCCACGGCTATATGGACATAACCATGAGAACCAAACTCTTTTCAGTAAGATATTTGTGTGAGGTATGTCATCGATTACACAAACGACAGGACAATTCAAGGACATCATGTCTATTGGACAACTAGTAAGGTAAACATATTTTCACAAGGGAAGGTTCAAAGGGGGACGCCTACCTATCCTATGCAAATATCAAATGTAGAATCTATCACTACATCGAGTTAATGTTTTAAACAATCAAATTCATTCATGTGGGGATTGTTGGAAAAATATGAATGAATCGATTTATTCAATCATGACTATTCATGAAAAATAATTAAGTATTTTCATTAAAAATAGTTATTTCATTTCACCCCAAAAGTCATGTATTTTCATGTTAACCTTTTAATCAAAAGGTTATAATTTTTAATCAAATGGTTAAGTCATTTCATTTAAAGGTCTTAACCTTTCAATACAAATTCCTCTCCCTATATAAAGACTAAGTTGTGACACATCTCAATACACAATTTTTTACTACTTTCTTTCAAGTACTTTCCTTTCAATTCTCCGATTCTTCCAAAGTCATTTTCCGGTGATAGATAAAGACAAAGATTGTGTTTGATTGTTCACTACGGTTGTGCTCACTGTTGTGAACGTTTGTTATTGTATCTTGGGAGACCGACATCTAACGTTACTCAAAGCACCGAGGAGAGGACGAATCTATCTTAAGGAAACTGTTCATTCAGGCCTCAACATAACTCTTCTTCTATTTATTCAGTTCTATCCGATTACAGGTTCTATTTTAATTGCACATTTTTTTAACTTTATTATTGAAACAAAAATTTTAGATTATAATACTACAACACTATTTTTCAATAATTTGCAACATCTATCTCTTTTCAATAGGTGTATAGAAATGAACCAAGTTTACTGAATAAAGTTATGTTTGTGTTAATATGTTTATTTTTTAAAGTGTTCATGTTTTGTTCGTGTTCATGCTCATTCGTTTAGCGTTCGCAAATCTGATTTCCCCCCTCGTCGGCATTCGAATGTTCAAGCGATGGCACCATCCCTCCCGCCTCGCTTGCGGAGTTTACGCTTAATGGTGCCGGTGGATTGGATTTCTATGATGTTAGCCTTGTTGACTGGGTACAATCTGCCGATGATGATATCCCCGAGGGGTGGAACAGGAGGTAACTGTAGATCGGCGGGATGTGCGGCGGATTTGAATGGTGACTGTCCTGTGGAGCTTAAGGTTGTGGATGGGAGTGAAGGGGTTGCATGTAAGAGTGCATGCGATGCGTTTGGGGATCCCCAATATTGCTGCAGCGGAGCTTATGCTACTCCGAATACGTGCAAGCCTAGCTCTTACTCCCAATTCTTCAAGACTGCGTGTCCTACGGCTTATAGCTACGCCTATGATGATGGAACCAGTACCTTCACTTGTGCTGCCGCTGATTACGATATCACTTTCTGCCCTTCCCCTGCCGCCAGGTCTAAATCCTTAGAGACTAACAATTTAAATTACAGTTTCATGTTTTATCATGTTATGTTTACTGTGGTTATGGGGACAACATGTTATTATGAGTATTATGTTGAGCATTGTGCATTTCTTTATTTCAAAGGTTTTAGTTCCAAGGTCGGTTTGGGAGTCACATGGGACCGGTACCCAGATATGGCTTGCACGTTCTTTTTTGATATTTTTATTTATTTAATCTTCATGTGTGCTTCAAGTCTTAAATATCAGCATCGTCCCATGGTGCAACTGCTGGACGCCAGTTGTGTACACGCAACTTATTTTAAAACCTTGTTGGTTGGATTTCAGGCGCTGACACTTGGATTTATGTGTGTTTGCAGTGTGAAATCGTCCAATCCCATGGCGGTTGACATCTCATCAGCCGGTCCTCATCCCGCATCATCAGCTCTCATTGGCGGCGCCATCGCCACTTTGGCTGCAATATGACGATTGTGGCATCTTTTCTGAGAATAATGCCACCATGCCTTTTCCCTTCCGTATGACAAATTTTGTCATCTGAAACTTGGGCAAATTGCAGTCAACAATCCCAACATCCGATGATATCACAGTATCACCGCCCTGCAATTTCCTTCTCCAACTTGAAGAAGCGAAGAGTTCTTTTCTTTTCTTTACTTTCCCTCTATAGACAAACAAAAGATAGGAAGATATTGTATTTGATCCATCATCAGCTACTTTTTTTCCCACGGAATCTGTTGAAGGATAGAGAGCTGGCAAATTAAGGGCATATTCTTGATTGATTTAGTGGAGGAACTGTCGCCTACTTCTAACATGCCAACGGTGATGCGTTCATTTGTCACTAATTGTTCATAATGAAGTGCATTTTTCTTTTGCCCACGTTTCCTATGCCTGATGACAGTTATTTTTTTTTTAAGTTTAGGGCCGGCGTGGGTTTGCCAGTCACCACCCTTAAATTTACTCTAATTATTATATCAATCATATTATTAAATAATTAGATTACATCTTATATTTTTTAATATATCTCTAATTTCTTGATAGATGAATTCGAGTCAACAATCTCTAGAGCACGTGATTAAAAGTTATATATTGATACTTTATTACTTTTTTAGATTGTAGGTTTGGCACTCTTTAGGAGTAGAATTCTATTTTTCCTTTTAAGTAGAAATTATTAAAAAAGTAAATTCGAATATATTAATTTATACATAAATAACTGTACATTTATGGATATTTATTTAATATTAGCAGTGATGTTTTCAGCAAATGATCTTAATTTATTGTCACATACTTTCATTTAATAATTTAATTATATAAATGGGATATTTGACAATAGATTGAAATAAACTATAAAAAATAATATTAATATATCAAATAATAATAATATTTATCAATCTATTTATTTATTTATTGATTTACTGGGGAAATCTCACGTGCGACAGCTTAATATATGGCTAAGGAAAGTCGCTACCGGTTTTGTTATTATTTTTTTAACAAAATCGGTAAAACATCACCGGAAACATTATTACTTCTACCGGAAATATTATTATTGGGCGCTTTACCGACTTTGATAATATATCCGGTAGAAAAAATAATATTTTAGGTAACGCTTTACCGGATATATTACCAAGCTCGGTAAAGCGCTTAATAATATTTTGGGTAAAACTAATAATGTTTCCAGTAATTTTTTTTCAATTTTGTTAAAAAATAACAAAATCGATAACACATTTTCTTAGTCATATATTAAAATTACTGTACGGTATAACTTCCTGATTTTCTCTTATTAATACTTGGCTTGTCAGCAAAAAGAGCAAGATCCATGATGTAATAGTATTTGTACTTTAAAAAAAAATAGCTTACCCTTATTGTCATATGTAATGGGTAAGGGGGAGGTAGGATAGTAAATTGTCCCTAACGTCAGGTTGAGAGCAGCTTCCGTGGAGACCTCCAAATTATGTAATAGTATTTATACTTTTCGGATTCTATTAAAAATTTCAAAGAAAAAGCGATAGCTTAGGGAAGGGATTGAAATTTGAAGTCAAGCATCCTTGTCATTTTAATGTGTAATTCCAAGGTCCCAACCACATCATCAGTGATCTCAACCAATAATATTTATATATCTTATTTTTTTAAGATGAATCTTCATCTCTTTTTACGTATAAATAAGGAATGCGTAATTATTTCAAAGTTATTTTTGAGAATATACTTCAAAGGGAACATTAAACTTGATAAATCCATTAACAAGATTTTGAAAAAGGTTTAAATAAGAATAAATAGAATACTATCTGTCGAAACGATTTTTAACCGGTGAGGAGTGAGATTTTGAAAACCGCGTCATTTTTAATTATTGATCTCTGATTGATTTTTTAATTAAAAACAATGCGATTTTAGAAAACCTCTCGTTTCGAAAAATTTGGGATTCCTTTTTAAAATAAAATGTACGGTTCGAGGAGTCGCCACCAATCTTTGATTAGGGTTGATTGGGCACCCAAAAACATTTTGCCATTTTAAATAAAATAATTTTAATTAAAGCGACAAATTTGCAGTCTACGTTACCAAAATCCGGATTCGGGAGTCGGTTACGCGTGGGGGAAGGATTAGCACCCCCACAGTGCCCTAAATTAGTACCTAGTCAATTAATTAATGTCTTTGCAACGAATTTCACAAGTTTGAGTTTAATTTGATTTATGATCCCCGACAAAAAAAACAATATATGAATATTACAAGCATCAAAATAGATTAAATTAAATTTACCAAGCCATTAGAAAGATAAAGAATATTCGATTATTTACAAGTATTGAGACTAGATCTTTAGGTGAGTTCTAACGATCTTTTCTCAACAAATTTAAATAACCGATCATTTCTTTTTCTTTCGTTCCCAAATTTTAAAGTGATGAATCAAAATTCATTTGGGTGTTACTGACGAGATATACTTTTAATTTAAAATATCAAAACGACTCTCTAGTAAGTTAAGAGAAGCCATTTCGACAATTTAAAATTAAAAGAATATTACCCTTAATCCGATTATGTGATTAGGAGTCGAGTTATGCACTTGAGGATATCAAAAAAAATATTCTAAGAAAACTTATATCTAGATGAACACACAAATAAATAAAAATGTCATGACAAACAAACATAAGAACTGAAGAGGAATGAGCAATAAACTCTAAAGTTAAAATCATAAATTGAGCACAAATTAAGTTCTAAGATATAAACCATCGCATTCCATGTACTGAAATTGAAATAATTTCCTAAACATACGTAGGACTGAAATTAAATTCGCATAAAATAAAGGAACACAATTACTAACATGAAAAATTCGGCCTAGGGATTAAAACGAAACATGCAAAAACATAAAAGAAAAATGTCTAAAATAACAAGAACTAAATGACACAACATTTGGGACTGAAATTAAATACGCATAAAACATGGAAACAAAATCAGAAATACAAAAACATTGATTTTATGACTAAGTTAAAATGCGCATAAAATATGGGAGTGAAATTAGGAAGAGAAAGACATTGATTTAAGGACTAAAACGTAGCATGCAAAATAATGAAAGTCAAAAGTCTAAGAAAACAACAACTAAGTATATTACCACTCAGGACTAAAATACAACATGCAGAACATGAGGGTCAAATGTTTAAAACAGAAAAGAGTAAATATACAAACACTTGGGACTGAAATTAAACTTGCGTAAAATAAAGAAACTAAATTAAAAACACAGAAACGCTCGAATCAAGGACTAAAACGAAACATGCGAAAATTAAAAGTGAAATGTTTAAACAACAGAAACTAAATACAAGACTAATTAAGGATGAAATTAAATGCACGCAAGATAATGGGACAAAATTAAAAACATGAAAACATTCGATTAGGGACTAAAATAAAATGAAATGTAAAAATAGAATGACCCAAACAGAGAATAACCCAGGCGGGGAACGGGGAATCCTAAGCTCCTATACGACGCCGTTTCACAATGCCAATATATATAACATATAGGGTAAAAACTAAACCCTAATTTCATTTGTTCTCATCCTCACTGCAACTCAGCCGCTCTCTCTGTCTTTCTCTCTTCAACTCTCAACACCGCTCGACCGAGAGCCACAAAGGCTCGCTCTAGGCCGGCCACCACCGATCGGTGGCCGTTATGCCTCCGACTACCTCCCAAACCAACGACAAAACAAACCCCTAATCTAAAACCCAACACCTACGTTCTATGACCTTCCAAGCAAGACCCCGACCGAAGCCAAGCGGCCACCGCTGCCCTCTATCGCCCGAGTTTCCCCCTAACGACGAAAAAAACTAACACAACGAAGAAGAAAAGGTAATTTTTATATGCTTTTTTATTCCTATGGACAAGGTTTCAATTCTAAAAAACTCCTAAATAACATACATGGATTCTATTTACCTCTCTGACCACGGCCGGGGTGGTTACCGGCGACGAAGGACTCGAATCAACAAGGTAAACGCTTCACTTTCTTCTATTCTCTAAACTTTGCTTTTGTTCGAAAGGCACTGATTTCTTTGGGTTCACTCTCTGGAATTTTTTGTTGCTTGTTAACAGATTGCTTTTGCTTTCTTTGAATGATGAGAAGATCTTTTTGTATTAATTTCCCGAAATGGGTAGAATTACAATGCTTTTCCTCTCTTTTGTTTCCCAGGGAAGACCCCTATTACAAACTCTCAAAATCCCCCCTACTCTTTGAATCATTTTCTGTTCGTGAACCTCCTCCCCAAACTTTTTTTTCTTTCGAATGGTTGATGGAAATCCTTTCGTTCCTCCCTGGTTGCTGAACCCCCCTCCCCCTTGTTTGTGTTGAAAAATGGTTCTCCCCTGCTCCCCGTGCTTCCTTCCTTGGAAAAACCCATGAGTGCAAATAAAATATCATTTGTGTGTGCGTTGGTACTTGGTTTGTTCTGATCTATGCTTCTGAAACTGCAGGGTTTTTTATTAGTAGCAGCAACGGCGGTCGTGGGCTAGTGAGCGGTGGCTTCACATGTGAGCTGGGATGGTCGTGAAGCAGGGCACTCGGGGAGCATGCATGGCGTGGGTGATGGGGGAACCGAGCTGCTCGGTCAGAGTGCTAGCGTGGTGTGCGTGACAGCCCCGAGGGCTTCACGTGGGGGCACTCGGTTGAGGTGTTTCAAAACGGATCTTGTAATTGGGTCATTTCTGGGCCTGTAACTGGGTCTTACTTGGGCTTGTAATTAAATTGGTTTGCAATTGGGCTTTAAGCATTTAATCTGGATTTGAATTTGGTCTTCAATTTATATCTTGAATTCCACAGTGAAACAAATATGGTTACGATCAAATGAAGCACTTAAAATTTCAAATGTAAGCTTTCACAATTTACCACTTGAATTAGTTCGTCATTGAGCACAAAATCTCCAAATAAATTTTCGATCATCTTCAAATAAATTTTCGATTATCTTCAAATGAATTCAAATGGTCCGGATAAAATTAGGGTATTACACTATCTTCAAAGCATTTTAGATTTTAACAATATCACTTTCAGAAATATATACGAGGATTTAACTAAAAAAATGATGTTGACATTCATAGAATGATAGATGCATGAAATGACGATTCTAAAGTTAATGTAAAGTTGTACAGAGTTTGTTGAGGTTGATGCGAGTGATTTGAGTTCATACACAAAAGAAGTGGAGACATGGCATATATGAAGCGAACCCACAAGTACAAGTACTGGATGATAAGATGTATAAAAAATGAGAAGAAAGAACTCAAGTGATTAAAGAACTCAACATAAATTCTAATGAGTCAATAGATTATGATGATTAAAGCTGTTACATAAGAGTAATGTATTTAAGGTTTATTGTATTTTTTTAATTTCCTCTCCTTACATCTATAAAATAAAATTTGTTCTATGTAATATGGCAGTCTTATCTTTCATCAATAAAATTAGTTTTTTTTCTTCTCATTTTCTCTCTACCACCGTTGAAATTAATTTACTTGATCTTCCCATCGTTGTTTTGATAGAGAGTACCGCAAAATATATGGTTAATATCAACTTTTTCATCTTTGTTTCTTTTGTAGAGCCTTCCGGAAGGCTTAAAACCATATTGACGACTATTTCCTTGCACAATTACGATTGTGAACCTTGATCTCCGGACGCAACTTACTTCATTGAGTGTGCAGTTGTTGCAAATAATTTGGAAAAAATGATTGTCTTAATGTTTAATGTGGTTTGAGATTCTTTTATTAAGCCTTTAACATAGGGCTCATGAAGGCCACCTATACCTATGCTTGTTGAGTATTTAGGGATCAGGGTAATCAAGTGATATCCACTCTTTTGCACTTGGTATAATAAGGGTGATATACATGTGTTATTGTATTATCATATCAAAATCTAATCGAGAATAGATATTATTGTAATACCCCGAATCTCAGGTCAGTAGTTTGAGTTAACCCGAAACCCGTAAGTTGAGCTTGTTAGATCTCCTAAACCAGTTTAGACCAGTTTTTAAGAGTATTGGGCTTAAGTTTGGCCCAAGAGTTTAGAGAGGAGTGATTTTAAAAATGAGTTAGAATGATAGGGACCAAAAGTGTAGTTTACCCATAGCTTGTTTCAATAGATAAAAACACTTTATTCTTTTAGAATTCAGGTGAACCCAAGCTTCCCAAAATATCTTCCATTTCCCATTTTCTTCTCTTTTCATTTTCTCTCCAAAGGCAAGCCAAAAAGATCAAAGCATTCCAAATTCCAAGCAAAAGTAGAGTCAACCAAGTTAAAGAGATAGAAAAAAGTTATAAAGCAAAGGATAAGGAGAAGTTGATTTCTAGTTGAACTGAGAGAAGCTTTAGCAATCAAGGAGGCCAGGTAACACACTCACAACACTTTCATACCCTTAGTGGGTCACTAGAAATGCAAGATAGCTAGAAAGTGAGTTTGAAGCATGTTAGTAAGTTTTCACGGTAGATTTCATAATTTATGATTTTAGTGTGTATTAAAGCCTTTTTTATGACCCCTAAGATCAAATAAGATTTAATAAAACATTGGGAAACCTTAAAGTAGGAAATTAGGAAGTTTGGGTGCCATTTTTAAGGGTTGGGATGCAATATCGATATTGTTCATAAGAGAAGCTTAAGATCGAGTTCTTGGGGAGCAATATCGATACCCCTTAAAGGAGTATTGATACTAAGGGTCTAGTATCGAGACCTAGATTGTAGAATGCCATTTTGGTATCAGTACTATAAGGAGTATCAATACCCAAGATCCTAGTATTGATACTCCTTTTTTCTTTAAGGCATTTCAGCAGTAGAGTATCGATACCTTGAGCTGGGTATCGATATTAAAGTGAGGGTATCAATACTGTAAGGCCAATATCGATACTAAGGGTAAGGTTTGAGCTTTAAAGAAAGAAGAGTTGTAGAGGCAAATGAGGGTATCGATATTATAAGGCCAATATCGATACTTAGGGTAAGAAATGGGCTTTAGTTCAGGAGGAATGATAAAAGTAAGTAAGGTTTCCCAAAAGCTTATAATTACCCCGAATAAGACTACAAGTGAGAACAATATTAATGTTGATTTCAAACGTATAAACGAGAATAAATAAGGTCAAATAAGACTAGCCTTGTTTGAGTGCTCGGGAAACGACCAAGACACCTGAGTTCCTTTAAAAAAAAATAGCAGAGTCGAAAATATAGATTCAGTCCAGATATATCATTAAGGAGTGCGCAAGGCACTTTAAGCTGACTAAATATGGCCGAGGCCTGACACTCGCAAGGGGTGGGTTAGTCGAAGGTATGGTGTTCGATGCATAGATTCCAGGGGCCATATCCTCGGTAGACTAGAGGGGTGTGTGAGTTCCGAGATGCAACCCCTCAGCCGCACCATGATGTCTACTATATAGTAGAAAGTGGGTATATTCACTAAACCATAGTAGAGTAGAGCGTAGACTTGATAACAAAGTAGTAGACTAGATAGCATGAACCTTTTAGTGTTGCACTTTTAGTATGTCCTAGTTGTTAGTGTGGCAATGAACTAGTTAGCTCAGCCCTCGGATGTTTCCGTTGGCAGGTTAGTAGATCGGTCGAGGAGCCTTAGAGTGACCGAGGTTCAGATCCAGTGCAGAGCAGAGTACGCCATCAGTGTTTTTAAAGGGCATGTACATTTATAAACTATGATGTATTATTGAGTCGTAAAGTCAGTAAAGAGTCGATATGTATTATTCGAAATGTATATATTTATTTTGAGAGCTCTCAGATGTAAAGTTTAAAGTATATTTTATTTCATGGATGTTTTTATATTATAAAAATGGTCGTTTTATAGTATAATAAATGAGTAAAGAGTGGTCAGCCACTTCGGTAGTTCCATGTAGCACTCTGATCGATTGACTGTGTGTCATATTGGTTTAGTATGTTACAATTATTATGGTAATAAATTATGTTTTCGGTATATTTGAATTAAAGTCTTGTATTTAGATCTCATCGAATTTTAAAATTAAATAAATTAAGTTTTACCCTTTTCTTTAATATTAATTGATTTTCAGGTATTATTAATTTTAAAACTACATTAATTAAATTCTAGTTTATATTTTTTTCCTAAGATAATTACAAAGTAGTATATATTTTAAATATTTTTAATCATTTTATGATTAACGCTCAATGTTGCAATCCTAATGTTAAGCAAGTTAAGTCCCCACCTACAATTTTTTTTCATGTAAATATCTCTTAGATCCCTTATTAATTTTTAACATTATATAAATTAAATCATATTCCACTCATTTTTAAATTTTAAATAAAGACTTAACAAATAGACTAATATTATTTTATTATTATCTATATTTTACCCTCTAAAGTTTCGTCTTCCTCCCTGGTCTGATTCAAGACAATGAAATCCATGTTCATCTGCATTTTCTTTCCTATTACCCGGATACCTGAAGAAGAAATTGCAAGCTAACCCAAATGGTAATAATTGCAAGGAAAGCAGTTTGGATTGGAATGGGTAGATTGGATAATGTAATTAAATAGAGTTGCACCTAAGCATTAGACCTAACTATGTTGGGTTTATCAAGCTGATTTGCACCTCACCTTGTCTATTTAACCAAGTTAGGAAAAAGCCTACTCGGCATGTTCAAATTTTAGGATATTACATTTTTGGTTCATTTATTTATTCAAGTTCATATAAAAACTGATAGTTATAAGATATTTAAATAGTGGTGGATAATAGAATAATGATTGTCATATAACTTTAATAATATCCTTCGAAATTATATTTTTCAAAAATAATAATGTGAAGCCAAATTATATTGATAGCGACGAATCATTGTCAGTGGTGGATGTAAGGTTTTTCTAGAGTGGGTATAAGTTCACCTTGGAATTCAGATTTATTTATGTTAGTGTTCATTTTACAATATTGCATATCTTAAAATTTTATCTATGTCCACCTCATATAATTTTTTTTATTAGTATATATGTGTCTGCATTAGAAAAATATTTCTGGATGATCTTTCACCAATCACAACTATAATTTAACAACTATTTAAAATTATTATCTTTAACAATAAATTATGCGATTTAGAAAAAAATCACAACGATAATACTCGCAGTGATTATAACTACATTGGTTATGTACACAATTATAATAAACATAATAAAACCAAAAAGGGAACTGCGGCACCAAATTACCTTTAAATTCCTATACTGACTCTGAAAAAGGCACAAGCCATTGAACTTTGTAAAAGATGGGATGTGAATGCATTGAAGCTTTTAATTTTCAATAAAGTTACTGATGTCATCCTCTGACAGAATTTGTGCCCAGTTACGAATTTCTTAAGGGGAAATAAGGCAGCAGCAGAGGATAAAAATGCATTTCGACCTTCAACCAAAGCAATGATCTTGATGACCCTAAAGCTAAAGGCCATCTCAGTATATGTTTGACCCTAAACGTATTTTGTAACCAAAGTTCATCGTTTTCACGGCTCTTGTGCATATAATAATAGAGAAAATAACCTAAGTGACAAAAAATGTTTTATAATATACGATTTTAACCAATTGTTTTTGGATTTACCAAAATGACCAACTAAATCGTAATGCGATCGATAATTCACAACGCGATCTCCGGTATCGCAAATCAGTTTCCATATTCGCAACGCGATTCTGACTATCGCATTGCGATTTTCCAAATTCGCGATTCGATTTTTCAAATTCGCGTTGCGATTTTCCGACTATCGCAATGCGAATATGTAAATCGCAATGCGATTATGACTATCGCAACGCGATTCTGACTATCGC